AAGGCAAGCACAGTGCCCAAAGCAACAGCTGTCTAGCCCTATCCCTGCAGTAATTAGATAAATGAACCCCAAATGAAATCTTACAGGCAAGAGTAGAAGGAAGTGATAATATCCCCATTGCCTCATTCCAGCCTCTGCTTGTAGTTATTCTTCTTTGGTACGGATTTGACAGAGCTTACCTCTCCCCTCTTCCGCACTCACTTCACTGCCGGTCCTCCAGACAGACCCCTGCAGGCACAGGAGACATGGGAGTGTCAGTGGCTGGGGCTGCACTCAGTTTTATCTCTTTTTTTTTTTTTTTTTTTTTTTTTTTTTTTTTTTTTTTCCAATGGCACCAGTTGTTCGAATCTGCAGAGCTTGCTGAACCTTTGTCCTTCTCTGCAGAGGAAGAACATAACAAAAGGTCCATGGCAGGTCACAAATTGAGTTTACCAAGAAAAAATACTGCAATTAGCAAATGCCATCTTCAAGAAATAGTTGATGTATTTGTAGGGATGCACTAGGTAAAAAAGGAGAAGACAAAGGAATATGGTTCAGGCAGCTGAAATTGCAATGGAAGCTATTAAAAGGTCTGTGTTTATTTTTATGGTACAAAAGCATTGTGATATTACAGCAATGTTCCCTTGATGCTACTGAGTAGTACCCATGAATGAACAGTGACTACTTAATGCCCATATTTACCACATAGAGATAAAATTATGAAAAAAAAAAGCATATATATGGTTATATATAAATTCAGAAAACACCTATACATCTATGCATTTTTAAAAAATAGTTCATATAATTATGCACAGAAAATAAATATAAATATGTATACAAGAAATATAAAGAAACCATGCTGAGGAAATCTAAGCAGTACAGATCCAATTTTGCTTTTATTTATGCCATTGCGTATCAGGCATAATACTGTGGAAGTACATGACTGTAAAACTCATTCAAGAACAGAACAGTTCCTCCCAGGTAGGAACTGATGTCCGGAGAAGTAAATGGGAGTCCTGTTGGATTTAGTAGTTGTCAAATCAGATCCTGTGATCTCACAGGAGAAAATACATTAACAAATGTTTCCGGCATGAGCAGAATTAAGAAGTGAATTTATGTCCTAGAAGAGGCACAGTAATGATGCAGAACAAGTGACCTTTTCTTTTATTCTCTCTCTCCACTCTTAAGCTAGGGTAATTCTTGCTGAGTTCAGCCAGATTTGCAGGAGTGTAAACTTAGATCAAAATTAGACCCCAGTTGTTTGTTTTACCAGCAGCCCATGTCTCAAGAGAGGGCTTTCATCTCTCCCTGTAGAAACAGTCAGAGGTGCGTCTAAGGCTGGGCGCTGCCAAGACCCGATCACTGGGATTCAAATAAGAATTTCTGGCAGACAGAGTGGTCCCATTAATCACAAGTGGTATCTCTTAAACCCTTCAATTACAAGAGATTAGTGGAGAATTGTAGCATTGGACTAAAGCAGTAATGACACATAGGAAGTGAAGCAGAAAACCTGCTTTCTTCTTAAGAAGAAGTTCAATTTACAGTTTATTTAAATATAAATTGCAAGCATAAAGTAATAGAGTTCTTAAACTTCACTGTTCAGTTAGTTTCAAATTAACCATACTGTACTTCTGCCTTCCCCAGAGCGTCACTGTGATCTTCAACCTGTCTGTTCCTTAAATTGAACCGAAGTCTTTTAAGTCCATTAAGTTCCTGTGCTATCCCCATAGCTGGCTGAATTACATTCTCCTCTTCTCGCACTGCCTCCCCTGTGGCGAGGATTGCAGGGGTCAGCACAGACTCCAAACCTCCCCCTGCTATCCCCCAGTCATAAATCGCCTGAAAGACTGTGAAATGGCCGTCTTCTCCCATCGTTTGTACTGCTGTAGCTTAGTTGATTTACTGTCATCCTAACTGCTATTGGGAAACATTTTGCATGAATCCTTGGGTTTAAGTTACATGCATAATAATATTTACTAATAGAGTGCCTACCTAACGGCAACTGCCAGTCCTTGGAGGCCCAGGTGCACAGACCTCTTCATACCAGCTGTAAACAAACTGTCTTCAGAATAAGAAGTGGCTCAGTTATCAGGATACCCACGTATAGTCCTTGCAGTATTCCTCTGCCCTAACACACAGGAAAAATTAGATCTGAAAATAAAACTCCCCAATGCACAGGAAATCGGAGGTTCATGGCAATAGCGAATTTTTCTTGTGAATTGTCTGTATTTGCTAGAGCTGAGGAGCCGAATGGTCAGAAAGTTTATGTCATTAGACATCTCCTGGGACTTCTGAGATGAGCTCCTTTTTATAGTGGTTCATTCGTTTTATCTGATGCTACTAAATTTTTAGGATTTCAGTTAAATTGATCTTTTACTCCAGGGAAAGACAAACCTGATGCTTGAGCTTCAATCACTATAGCTGTTGGAAGTAAGGAGGATTTGCAGTATTACTTCAGTAAGAAGTGACAGGTACTAGTCTGATTTTGTGTAAAGAGGTTTAAATCAGGTCCCAAAGCTGGTGATGTTATACTGGTACAAAACTGGTAGAGGTTGAAATGAAGCATCCGTACAGTTTGAGGCCAGAAAGAATGTATTCATAACTGTATATGTAAGGTTGTTAGATTTAACCTATTTTCCTTCTAAAAAACAAAACAAAACAACAACAAACTTACCCTCGGGGTATTCAATTAGCTCTCCTTTGCACGTAATGATCAAGGATCTGAAGGACATGGACTCACAGCAGCCAAAGGTGCACATAAACTTATAGGGAAGTAGATTTGTAAAGTAGAGTATTTTATTTGATTTAGTTGAAGAACAGCAGTTAATTGAGTTTCTAACAGATCAGTCTAATATTTTTACAAAGTGATATCTGTTTTAAAATAGGATACAATAGAAAAACACAACTCATGTAAAATTGAAAATAGGAAAAGAGGTGAAGACTAATATAGCTGACTTCATGGCGGCCGGCTGCTCCCTCAGGAGGGGAGCGGAGGGGCAGGCGCTGAGCTCTGCTCTCTGGGGACAGTGACAGGACCCGAGGGGACAGCATGGAGCTAGGACAGGGGAGGGTCAGGCTGGGGGTTAGGGAAAGGGTCTGCACCCAGAGGGTGGTCGGGCACTGGGACAGGCTCCCCAGGGCAGTGGTCACGGCACTGATATGCAGGAGTTCAAGAAGCATTTAGACAATACTCTCGACACATGGTTTGAGTTTTCAGTGGTCCTATGTGGAGCCAGGACTTGGACTTGATGATCCTTGTGAATCCCTTCCAGCTCAGGGTATTCTATGATTGTATGTCTTGTTTTTTCTCCTCCAGGACTCAGTGTTGCCCTCCCTCCCCTCTGTGGTTACTTGACGAGTGCCTCTCTTCTGAGCTGCCAGGACAACTAGGGCTGAAATAAACCAGGGCCAGTTCATTACAACTGTCTGGGGGTGTTGATGGTCTTTGTCCTCAGTAGAAATTAGCTCTGCTAATTAAATTAATGCCTTGGGCAAAATGCTGGAAGTGGCTTTTTTCAGTTAGGTGTTAGGTTTCATAACTGCTGAGCTGAGTGGTTGAAAAGAGAATCCGTGCACACCCAAGCTGCATTCTTCCTCTTTCCCCTCAACTAACCATGTAAAACTGAAATCAGACTCTTGACCATTTCACCATTTAGTGACAAGTTGTTTTCCTGGTTTAAATTTGGGTTCACATTACCAATTTGACTCACAAGCATATAGAGACAAATCACAAAAATACTGAACAATCTTGATTGATTTCTGATCTCATTCTGTTGTCTTCAGAGGAGTTGTTTAAAAAAATGAATTTTCCCAGATTTGACCTCTCAAACCAGATGATTTATTTACATGTGGGATGAGTTTGGGCAAGCATGAAATGAGGTCTACATACGAAAAGCACCAGTCTCAACAAGGCTGACAGGAGCCACAGCCTGGCCTGACTTTTGGGGCTACAATACCTCCCAGTGTGTTTCTGCCATCCCAGCAGTGGCTGAGTGCCCACCCTGTGCTGAAGTGCCTCTTCATGGTGACTTGCATGCCAACCATGCATGGGTTTTAATACAACGGAGATATAGTTAGAACGAAACAATTAGATAAAAGTTCTGGTTGGCATGAAAGTCAGTCTGCCCTAGGACAAAGTAAATGAATGTGTGGCTAGAAGGCAAAAGCTGGCAGAGAGGTGAGGTTTGCCCTGTAAAGTTCAGGAACTGATTTGTCTGCAGGTAGTGAATTTATGGGGAGAACCAAAACAAGACCGATTATCAACTGTATTATTTACATCTAAATTGCCTACCAAGTGGGCTAATGATGCAGTATAATCTCATTAAATCCATGAAGACGTATTTTTGTCTAGAAATAACGTCTTATGTAGCCATTTAATGAGTTGTGAACTAACATGTTTTAACAAATCTTTTATCACTTATTACATTTCACTCCCTTGACGATGATTTCAAAATCTGACCATTAAAACAGGGCTATTTTCACAACTCTTTGATGATGACACTTAGATGTGAGCAGTTCATCTTTTTGCATTTGGATAGAATCAGAAAGGTGTAAATTACAGATCTGGCTTTTATGTGCTTGTCTTATTGATCACACTACTGTGTAGAAACCGCAGTAGTTCTGATAGTTTAGCAGCCTAGATTACATTTCAGCTTTCTTAATTGGGCCACTAGGGTACAGTTACTTTTCAATTTATACTGAGAGTAAGACAAGGTGATGTAATACTTCATCGTTGTACTTGAGTAACACGGGCACTAAAACACCATGAGGTAGCTTGTAATTCTAACTACACGAGGTGCTTGTTGAAGTAGACAGAGACAAGTTCTGGCTTTGTGCAATGTGCATTGTAGACCAAGTTCTATCTATAATCATTCCCGTGTCTTCACTGACTTCCATGGAGCTACAGCAAAGTGAATCAAGTGGTTTGGGTCAAGTGTTTTGGAAAGTTCATTCAACATATAAGAGTCTAGTGCATCCAACAGTCTCATCAAATGTGGTCATTTTTTTGTGTTTGCTGACAGGTCAAAGTCATGGTGCGCATTTCTTCGACGCTTGCCAGAGACACATCTGAATCCAGCTCTTTCTTAAAAGTCGATCCCCGTAAGAAGCAAATCACACTCTATGACCCAGCGACCTGTGGAGGTCAGAATGCTTTTCAGAAAAGGGGCAACCAGGTTCCACCCAAGATGTTTGCTTTCGATGCAGTTTTTCCTCAAGATGCATCACAGGTAGGCAAAGTCTGATCAGAACAGTTATCTAACAATGGAACGCACCAGAGCCAGATGGATTTCAGCTGCAACAGCAGTACTTTCAGTAGAGTTAGACCAGAGTAAAATTTGATCCATCAGTGTCATCAATAGTGAAATCAATTTATTAAATCATATCTAAATGATTGTGTGCTTTCTTTATTCTTTACTGTAAACAATTGGTCCTAAAATTATACATGCAATAAATGTGCTAAATGGTGCCTAGAATGCAAATCCTCCATATCAACAATTTTTGTATATTTTAAATGGATTATTTGGTGTATACAGCGATCTGATCAGAAAGCCAGTTCTCTAATACGATTCTCTATTCATTAAGATGTCAAGGATTATTTGTACACTGTTTTATTGTACAATTTACAGTAGAAGCTTGGAGATTTTAATCCACAAATCTCCAATCATAAGTATATAATCAGATTTCTCATTTTTATTAGGCTTTGGTTTGGTGAACTGTTATACAAATGCCATGAGGAAGACAGTAAAAGAGCAAAGTAGACCAGAGAGTCTAAACCTTAACTCTAAGAATGCCCTGGGTAAATTTGTGTGTTGTACTTCTTAACATACTTCTGCTGTTGTCAGGATGGAGTCTACTGCTGCTAAACGCTAGGAAGACTCATAATAAAATAGAGAAAAATTAAGAAATGTCACCTAAGTAATACCAAACATTCTGTTTTTCCCCCCTACATTCCTTACCCACCTGCTAGTGGAAATTAATTCAGTCCATAATTGGGGAAATAACAGAAGCTGTTAAAATTTCTCAGTATTTCCTTTTCACCAACAGAAAAATATTTTTATGACTCCTTAATAGACAGATCTATCAAACCAACCACATCCCCTTCATAGTATGTGTATTTTGTTTAACACCATGACAGTTGTTGATAGTCAGCAAATGAAACTTCCTTGAGAGAGCAAAAGTCTTGTTTCTTCTGCTTACACAAACAATGCCATTACCATCAATAGTATTGGTCACAAAAATGAAACAAGCAAGATTAGACTTTTTGATAATTTAGCATGCTATCTGGAGCACTGATGACCTTATGACTACTTATACTGAAAGTACTCTGTTGATTTTGCTATTATTGTTGATAATTTTCTTTAATTTCTTTCTCTCTCTCTCTCTTTTTTTTTTTTTTTTTCTTTAATACCTGTTACAGGCTGAAGTATGTGCTGGGACTGTGGCTGAAGTGATCCAGTCAGTGGTCAATGGTGCAGATGGCTGTGTGTTCTGCTTTGGCCATGCAAAACTTGGTTGGTATCGCTAAATTTCCCTATTTGAACAGCAAAATGAATATTTGTAACCAAAGGTTGTTAATGCTTGAGGTTAGGGAAAACAAACCGTCATTTTTCTGTGCATGGTAATTGTATTTGAAAGTAGTACACTACATGCGTGGCCTTATACTACACCTTCACCTTTCATTAACACATCTCTCATCTCTGCATACTGTCTAAATGATGGACAACATGCTCTTTGAAGCAGAGGTTGTTTTTGAGTTCTTGCTTTATTCAGTCCCCTGAGCACTACAGCAACTGTTAGTATTCTCCTCAATTGTTAATGAATGATCCAATAGGGATCTATAGTTTTACAAATGTGCCTAGTATTGGAGACTCTTTGCCAAAACACCACTTCTATCAAGCTGAGAGTATCCACTCAAGTACTCTGTGTTTGTGGTGACACTGTTCAAGTGCAGTGACTGGGCACTCACATCATACGCTTTCTATTCTATTCCCAGATTAGACAATTCTTTAATTACTGTTCCCTGTTCTGTCTCCAAGAAATCCTATTCTAATGGTTAACTGAATATTACCAGTGGATTAAAACTCACTCTTTGCATCAACAGCATTTCAGGTGTTCACGGAAAGACAATAAAAAGGAGAATCATTATCATTAACAAACTTTTCTTTTGAAATAACTGGATTTTATGAGCAATCATATTTTTTGTTCATGTTTATTGAGACGTATTTTGAAAATAATATCTCTTTAATGAAGGGGGGTTTGTTGTGAATGGGTGCAATGATCTCTATTTTTTACTGTCCCGAAGAAACAGATAAACACACAAAACTGAAAAGGATAATTCCATTTTTCAAGTGATAAGGAAGATCAAACTGTATCAGGCTATGATTATCCCAATTTAAAGGCAACAAAAGCTGGAGAATACAACAAAAGCTGCAGCACCACCCACCAGCTCTGGTACAATAAATAGAGCAGGGCCATTTGTCCAACTAACCACAGGACCCCTCTGGACCATACAGGATAACAGTGGGATGAACACTTGGATATTTAATCCTGTGTGACCTGCCAAACACTAGATGACAAGTGGAAAAGAAAGCCGTCAGATGCTGGTGACTCACAAGTGCTACATGTCCTTCAAAGAGATGGCTTAGTTGCAGCTCTACTGGAGCACAAGTTGAGTCTCTGCAGTTGCATCACCATTCCGCCAACTGTGGACACACACAGACATGTGCTTAAAAATATCACCGATCTTCTTCCACATAGATTCAACATACGGAATAAAACAAGGCAAAGAAACCACAAGTACTTGCCAAAAATTATGTATACCTTTATAATTTGGCTTGAAAATTTAGAAAACTTGTCTCTATATACTGACACCTAAAGCAGCACAAGATAGAACTTGGTGCTTGTTCTTGTTCAACAAACTTTTACAGGAGAGACAAGCCAGAATTATAAGTGCAGAATAAAATAATAGTAAAGTAGGGGAAGCTTTAGGTCCATATAAAATATTTATTCTTGTGGACCCACTTCTGCACCAAATGATCGTGTGTACCTGTTTTTTGTTTGTTTGTTTTGTTTTTCTTTTGTTCTCTGTATAAAGTTACATCTCTGTGATCCTGGGACCAAGGTTATGTCAATGCCAGTCCCAGTGTGTGACACATAACGTAGTGCTTTGAAGTAATATGGTATACAAAGTATATATCGCACTCACAGTATCTAGAGCAGGGAATTTCATAAACCATGGTATTCCTGCTCTGCTCAATTCACCTCGCTATTCACCCATGGTACTGGCTGCAGTGTTGTGTGATAGGGACCTGCAGACCCTTGCCTGGGGCATGGGGAATGTCAGAGGAATACACGAGGTTACAATTCTTGAAAGTGTCTCAAGATTTCATCTGTTGATTTTAAATGATCTCCATTTTCCATGTATTATTTGTCTGCCTGCCTGCCTATCTCCCTTTTCTGGCTGTCCTTTTGGTTGTGAAGAAGTTGTTTTCAAGAGGCTGATAAAGGATAATATCACTTAGCAGAAGGCTGTGAAGATCCTGGAAATGACATTGTTATTTTTTCTCCACCTCCCCATTCCTGACAGGGAAGTCATACACCATGATTGGCAAGGATGATTCCATGCAAAACCTTGGCATAATCCCTTGTGCCATCTCCTGGCTCTTCAAGTTGATTAATGAACGCAAAGAGAAGACAGGAGCCCGCTTCTCAGTCCGAATTTCTGCAGTGGAAGTGTGGGGGAAAGAAGAAAATCTTAGAGACTTGTTGTCTGAAGTGGCTACAGGAAGCTTGCAGGATGGCCAGTCCCCAGGCGTCTACCTATGTGAGGACCCCATTTGTGGCATGCAGGTGAATCCAGTCTTAATTTTACACTAAAACAAGCAATGTGATTTTTTTGAGCCATTGAGATGGTTCAAATTCAAGAACTACCCAGAGCACAAAGTTTATAGACTTGAAAGTGTTTACTTTAAAACATGCAAGAACTTTATGACCTGCAGCTGCAGGGCCATCTGCTCTCCTGGCCTAAATATTTGTACCTCTGGTATAACTGATGTTGAGCAGGGGCTTGTGTTTGCAATAAACTGTGAAAGCATTCAGTGCAAACAGAAATTCACCTCATTTAAAAAAAAAAAAAAAAAAAAAAAAAGAAAGTGTGATCTCTTTTTTGTAAAACAACAAGATAAAATATTTACAGTACTGCACAAATAGCTGGAGGCCATTAATATGGCTGTTTATCTCTTTATAAACATTATTTATAGCACTTGCATTAGCAATGTTGTAGGAAGCATTAATCGCTACTTATTAATTGCTGCCAAGACATAAATTCCTGAGCTGGGCAAGCCAAGAATAACTCCAGATCTTCTCAGGTTTAGAGGTTTAGCAGGAATGAGTAACTGGTCCATGTATTTCCTGGGAAACCACTAGAAAGTCTCCAAATTTATTTATTTATTTATCTATCTATTTATTTATTTATCTATCTGTCTATCTATTTATTTATTTATCTATCTATCTGTTTATTTATTTATTTATTTATTTATTTTGCTGGGTGGAGGAAGGGCCTATTTTTCAATTTGTTGTCTGTGTAAAAGTGACTCTGATTTTTGTATGAACAGATGATGGGGGAAGAGGGGGCAAACTAGCTTCAATACATTCTTTCAGCCTTAAAGGCAATGGCTACATCCATCCAGGAACTGCAGAGCAATTCCCTCCAGGAATGGGAAAATGGAGGGAGGAGGGAACAGACTCTGTCTGCCTGCTCCCTATTTCCAGCTGCAAGCATCTAGGAATCATGATTCACATCCCCAAAAGTTGTGAATCATGAGATTTTAAACAGCAAGTAGTAAACTTTGTGTTTTATCTCTTTGTGGTTTAAGCCTTTTGGACATACTGAGAGTGTATTTTCAATCCTTTCTGTTTTACCCAAGGACTGCAAAGTTTCTTCTTGGTTTTAAATAATGATTAGCATTCTTATTCTCACTTGACTCATAGTTTTAGTGCCTCATGAAATACTGGCATTATCACAAGAGCATTACTGGCATTATCTCACCCCCTGGTATCTAGTAGTGGGTGTAGTTCAGTGAGTATAGATGGGAGACTCAAGTCTTCACAGTTCCCACTGGGGTGATAGATGGGTTGGTTTAGATCTGAATTAGAATATGTATGCATGTTATATATGTTGCATAACTGTGTGACAGATAACTCCTCCTTAGAGCTTAATTCTTCACTAAGGTATTTAAGCACAGCAGCAATAAAAATAAAAATAAATAATCCACAATAGTAGACTATTTTTACGTACACGCAGACATAATAGCCATATACAATGTGAATTGTTTTAGATCAGCAGAGAAAAGGTAGCTCCATGGGAGGGATGCACAGGGCTGTGCATCTCTGCAGTGTAAAATACTGAATTAAAATAGGAGCAAAACCTCTTTTTACGTGTGTTTGCAAGACATAATAGTGTTCTGGAGTCGTGTCCTACACCTGAATTCTCAAAATCCTCAGTTGAAGGGAGGAGATTATGTTATAGCCATACAGATATGCAAAACCAGCAGCGTGTATAGCAAATGAATAATCACCATATGTCATACTGTCTGTCATTGGGCCTTTCCAAGTGTGCACATTTTTTTGTTGCTTATATTAGTGAGATCCGTCCACAGACTGGTCTGCCTTCTGCTTGCTGTGTTAACTCCTTCTTGCCTCCTTTTCTCTTTCTAGAGAGAGCTTAGCACCCAGCTGTGTTACCCCATCCCGTGCAGAGCGTTGACGTTATCCCTCCTTGCGCTGATTAATGATCACAAAGGGAAGGCAGGAGCACTGTCGTCCTTAGGGAGAACTTAACTTTTAGCTGCATTACCCAGCAGTGGAGCAAACCCTGAGAATGGGAATTCCTCACCGTATTTATGCCAGACAAAACAAGCCTATCCTATGGGCTGTGGGCCAGCTCCACATACTGCCAAAACTAATGCCATCGGATTGCACGGTCACGTGTCCTTTCCACAGGCAGGCTAGTCTTAGGTGACACGAAACACACGTGCATTCCTAACATTATGATGGGTTAATAATACCTGCCCTCCTATGCTGTCGATCACTCTGGAGAGATAAGAGCAGGCTGGTGGTGGCGATTGGGGTCCAGCAAGTATGAACATATGCACACTACCTGTCTTGCTCCAGTTAATGCATTGCCCTATCTTGTGAGCAGGTGCACAGGCTGGTGGTGTGAAGGGACATGAAAGTGTCTTCTCTTCTGTGTTTCCCTCCACACGCTGTGGGTCTGACCACAAGCTTCAGTCCTGTTATCTCACAGATTTGGCTGTGGACTGCTCCCTTCTAACACTTCCTGAAGAATAACATGTGGGCCTGCCCCCGCCAGTCTTCACCAACTGTTGGGCTTGACGTGTTATCCACAATAGCTTATTTATCTTCTAACTGTCAGGAGGACACAGGGATTGCCAAAGCAGGAAAAAACAGGCAGCAAAAATAACAAACTTTAATGAATGGCTTAAAATTCTGGAAAAGTAGAGGAACAAATGTGTGCATCTGTGTCCAGCCCATAGGACAGACGTTAGGTTTATTTGTAACAATTGCCACCAGAGGTACCGCAAGCAGCGACCCTCAGAAATGGGGCCTGGATTCGGTAGTGGGGTGCCTGGAGGACATGGCAATGTCCCTGCCAGGAGGTCTCATTCAACAGGGTGCTTCCTCCTCCCCAGCCCCATCAGAAGCCAGAGTATCCACAGCGTTCATTGACTGTGGCTGCTGTCTGATAGTGTTGACTCCTGTGGAAGTTTGTGGGTAACTTCTTCCCTGTGTTAACCCCCAGCTCCAGAACCAGAGCGAGCTCCGCGCCCCCACGGCAGAGAAGGCCGCCTTCTTCCTCGACGCCGCCATCGCCTCGCGGCGCAGCAGCCAGCGGGACTGCGACGAGGAGGATCACCGCAACTCCCACATGCTCTTCACGCTGCACATCTACCAGTACCGCATGGAGAAGAGCGGCAAGGGCGGAAGTAAGCTGCTCCCTCACTCCCTTCCCTTGTCGCTGGTGGCTTTGGATAAGCCTTTAAGCAGTGTTCTCTAGTGGTGAAAATAAGCAGTGGTCTCCGATGGAGTGAGTCCATTTAGACTGCTTGCCCATCTGGTGAAGATCCAGCAAAAGCCATTAAAGGCCACGAGGGACTATTGCTATCAGTTGTCAATTTAGCTGCTGCCTTTGTGGAGGTATTAACAGTTAGTGCTCAACACTGTGTGGATGTCTGTGTTTAGATGCAAAAGTGCTCTTCAGGCTAGCTTTTAGTGTTATCTTTGCTGATAGTTGCAGGGCTGAGATCATGGATGAAAATACTGTGGCGATGGGGATTCCCTGCCACCCTCACGTTGACTGTTCCAGTCCAGCACTTCCATAGGGCAGAGTGTGTGGGAGCTGATTTTGCCAGTGCATAACCTGCAGCTTTCCTTGAAGGAGCACAACGTTTTAGTTGCTGGCCCTCCTGCATGTGTGCTCGTGGTTCTTCGTGTGAAGACTCCAGGCTGTAGGTTTGCTCTCTCTCTGTGCCATAGGTGCTTTCACTGACTTGTGTCTTTATTCCATTTCCTATTTGTAAATGAGGAAAAGGTGCTTCCAGTATTTGCTGTGTCTATTCATATATTATATAATTTTCAAAGGTTTCTTTTGACTCTCACCATTTACATTTTTTATTATATTTATCTTTTGTTTCAAGTCTCCAAACTGTTTATAGCTAGAGATATACTTTTTTTTTTTTTAATAGCAAATTCCAGTGATAAACGATTTGTATAATATAAGGAGCACCCCCAACCAAAAGACAAACTTTCCTGTGTTTTTTTTTTTTTTTTAATAATTTTTTACAGGGACAAATTGTTTGAAAGACACCCGAGACCTCTGATTTTTATTTTTTTTTTGAATTGGTGGCTTAAACAGTTCTGCAGATACAACACATATTTCAGTTCCTGGCTCTGCATAGGTCATTTGTCATAAGGAGTAGATTGCAAGTAATGATGTGTAGTGGGTGAACACCACTGCAGTATTAATGTCTGATGTTTGAATGCAGAAAATTTACATTTACTGTACTTATAATGTGAGAGAGAAAACCAGAAAGTTGTTCTAAATGGAAATGCAGTTTGCATGTGTTTAAGTAATAACCCCAGTGGAATTGGCAGGCAGAAAACTCAATTAACTAAAGGTTTATTAATTAACCACCCTGCGGTGGAAAGGAAGACTGTGAATGCTCAAACGGATTGGTGCATAGGAATAAAGATGGCTGATTTTGAGGGAATTATTATTACAATTATTTAATACTCCATGTTTTTTACTACAGGCAAAAGTACTACATGTACACACAATCCTTTTCTACTATTTTCAAATGCAATTAATAAAAGAGAAAAAAATATTTTCCTGTGGCTATAATGACTCATTTTAAAAAGCGAAGATGGCACGATCCTGTAAGATTATAGTATGGCATGCTTTCCCAACTGCCTGTAGTTATATTTTCATCTCTTGGCCATACCACCTCCTGTCTTCAAGTTTCCATATCTGAGTGGCCTCTTGAGCTGGGCAGGGTCAGATCTGGCTGATAATTGAATGAGGGGGGAATTCCAGCTGCTCAGAAAAGGCGCCTAGTGATTATCAGTGTCTCCTTCTGTAATGAAGGACTTCTCAGAAAAAAACGTGCAGACAGTAGAGATATATAGATTCCAGTAACAGGATTAAAAAAGGCTTGGAAAAAAAAAAAAGAAAAATAATTAAAAAAAAAAAAAAGAAACCTGCCTTCTAAAGGATGAGATTAAAGGGAAGGCTAATGCATGATTTTGGTAAAAAATGACAGTTAGAGTAATGCATCAGTACTGTACTTAACTCCTGGTCAGATTCATTACCAGGAATGTCATGAAGCAGGCTTAGTACCACTGAAAGAAATGGAATTGTGGCAGAACTGGCACCACCATTTTTCAGCTGTCAGCTCTGCAAAGTCTCCGTGGCCACTGAGAAAAACAAGTGCTAGGATGTTCTACTTCTCTTCTTCTCTCTATAGCTGCCAGGTACATTAATGGAGAACTTGCCTAAAAAATAATTTAATTTTCAGGTCAAGCAAGTGGATCGGCTGTCCTAAAACATGTCTTATTTTGACTTGTAAATTAAATAAGAATGAAGGATCCAGTCCTTTCTCTTGTTCTGGATTTCTTCAATCTGTATAAAAGGACTATATGTGCAAACAATATGACTGAAGTTTGAAAGGCAGATTTTTTTAAAATAAATTGTAATTTATAAAAAAATAATAATAATTATAAATTGTCTTAATTTTGTTTTGTTTCCCCAGTGTCCAGTAATCCTAGCAACAGAAATATTTATTATATATAATCCAGTAAAGACACCTGCAGTCATTTTTGGTAGCATCTAAACACATTTCCTTGTTTTTCTAAGCAAAATCATCTGGGGGTGCTCACAAAGGGTAACTTCAGCCTTCTGAGGGTAGCAATCTTAGAGGACTTAGGGGATCCTAAGTCTAAGAGTTTAAGGACAATTAGAGGCCAAGGTTCAGAGGCAGTGAAGGTGCAGCTGCCTGCATGGTTCTCCTGGGGAGCCTGACTTTTTTTAGTGAGCTCAGGCATTTGTAGCGTGCATGGATACTTCCCTGTGAACACCTCAGAGAACACGGTGTTGAAAACATCCATGGACGTTTAATGGGTTGTAGTGTAATCTGGGGAATGTTACAGTATTTTGAATGTCTGGCTACTCGTATTAATTTTAATCAGACATTTATTCTTCACTTCTTTTTCGTCATATTCAACATGACTTAGCCGATATTGCAGTATAATTTGATATGTGGAAGTCTTCTCGCCAGATACCTAATGTAGCTGGAGAACTAACAAGACCTAAAAAAAAAAGCAGCAGTTACTGTATTTTGGTAATTGTTGAGAGAGATATTGGCTACATTATTTGAATATTATTGTCAAATTCCATAGCATAAACCGCTTTCATAGAAATATTCATCTTTCTTCTTTTTTCTTTTATCTTTCTTCTTTCTCTTTTTCCTTCTATTTTCTTTCTCTTATTTGCTCTTTTCCTTTCTTACTTATCTTCTCTGTTGTTTCCTTCTCTTTTTTCTCGTCTTCATTTTTCTCCTTTCTTCTAATTTATTTCCACTTCTTCTTTGTTCATTTTTCTTTTTTTCTTCTTTTATCATAAAAATCTATTTCTAGTTGTTTATTTTAATTAGCCATAACCTACAACTGAATAGAGAATTATAGTGTTATATATAATGCATTGTCATGGTTTCTACAGAAAGGCTTTGTATTTTTAGAGTTGTGTGTCATGCAAGATACCAGGTAGTAGCAATAAGCAGTGAGCCTTGTGCTTTGCAGTGCATGCAGAATGAAATCTCTTTCCCTCCTTATTTTTTGAATGTCGGTTAACATCTTCTAATTTACATATGCCTTTAGTGTGCTGATGTTTTATATGCCTTTGGTAGCTGTATGATTTATATATTTAGATATGTATTTCATACTAAACTTTCTCTAAGTAAATCTGCAAAATGATATGATCATGTATCACCTTTTAGTCAACACGCAGCGTTTTACAAGTTTCTTCTTCATATATCTATGTGCATTTATTCTGTGGATTTTCTTCTACCTCCTGTGGCACCTACATGCCATGGTACCACAACTACTCAATGCAGGATCATTGAAAAATTTGTTTGTGGTTGTTAAGGCATTTCCAAAGCAATGAAATGTATCTGAAAACTTATTTTCTAAGATCTCCATCATATAGTTGCTCCCATTGCCATCTTTTCTTGTGAGCAGGTCTCCCCCAGTTCCAATATATATAAATATTTTTGATTAAATGCGTGAGTTAGGGTGCTATGTAGAAATGGCTGTGAATTTAGTTGCACAGAGGTAAACTCAGAAGTGAAAGTATTTCTACTTCTGTTTATGTTCAGATCCTCAGAGTGCTAACTTTTGAGTTATGATTCTATAACAAAACTGTCTTTTCCTTCAGTTGCTTCTAAACTAACTCTTGAGAATAGGGACAACTGGTCAAAGATCAGATGTAAAACAACAACAACAAAACACAAAAAAAAAGGAAATAGAAAGCAGCTAGGAAATTGTCTTCAGAAAATAGAAAATTAGAAGTTCTGTAAATTCTGTGAAGTCCCCACCCCTGGGTTCATAAAGGAAACATAGATTTTTCATAAGAGCAAACGTTTGTTAATCTTGGTATTTCAAAGGTAACATCCTTTCACTTTCAGTGTAGTTGTGTTGATACAGAGTAAACATGACAGAAAACAGGCACCCACTACCAATTTTACAGAAAACATTTTCAGAACAGAACAGCTTTCTAACAATCCACTACACACAGCATGGAAAACCTTTTCTTAGCCCAAATGATAATTTAAAAATATGTAAACTTAGAGCAAAGTTTAATATCCCATTGATGCCTTTGTTCCTATGAACCTTCAGTATCCCAGATGGGACGGATAAGAGAAAAACTGAAGCTATCACAAAACCACTGCTCACCAAGCAGCAATTCTCAACCTGTAGTTTTCCAGGCAGAGAAACAGAAATCTCAGAGACAGAAACAGAGCCAACTAAGGTATAGGCTAAAGGACTTATATTAAAAAAAACAACAACAACAACACATTGATGACTGCCTGCCACAGGGTTAAACTCGGAGGAGCAGATGATTAATGAAAACCTCATCAATTTTAAAGCAAGTCAGTAGTGGACAGAAACATATAGCAATAAAGGCTGAAAGTGAACTCACAGGATCCCTACAGTTTGCTGCTGATACCATGAATTAGGAGAGGTTTCTGGTTTGTTTCCTCTTCACAAGTCGTAGCTAGCCTTTAGCTTTCCTGGGAAACTGCTTTTGGAGGCACATGCTAACCATTTGCTTTCTTTGTTTATGGCAGTGTCTGGAGGTCGCAGCCGCTTGCACCTTATTGACCTGGGGAGCTGTGTGAAAGTGCTCAGCAAAAACCGCGAAGGAAGCTCTGGCCTCTGTCTCTCGTTGTCAGCACTGGGCAATGTCATCCTTGCCCTTGTCAATGGAAGCAAACACATCCCGTACAAGTAAGTGATATTCGGTGTTACACCTAATGAGAGGATGCTTGCAAGCAGTTTACTTGTCTCACCCCAGACTTGTGGTAAGCAGGAAGACAGTCTCCTGGGGTTGGTGCAGTCCTCTTGAGGCAGTCTGCAAAGCCTCCCTGAAGTTGAGTGAAGCCTGATCTAGCTGTATGTCTGGTAGCTACACTGTATTTCGTGTTCAGGTTTCAAAGGAAGAAGCCTGAAGATAGAGAACCTGGTTGCCTTAAAGATCTTATGGATGAAAGTTCAACACATGAGGATTTTGTTTTCTAGGGTTGTTAGAAGATTTTTTAATCCTTTAAAGCTTCAGAGATCCAGTTTCGTATTTGCTCCATGGAGCAAAAGTTCCTTTCATAAAAGAGAGAAATCATTATAGAGAAAAATGTTTTACTGTTCATTATACACATTTTTGTTTTTCAAAAATATCTGTCACAATGTACATGAATCTTTACCATGGGATTGTTTCTGTGATGCAAGGTTACTTTACATTTTATTTTTGTGTAGTTTGAATCTCTGTCAGCCTTTCACTTGCAAAAAAAAAAAAGTAGGCCCTATTTGTCACACTAGACAAGTGGCCTTTGCTACTGCAGGTGGCTTCTGGGAAATTAGAGGAGATCCTCAGCTAGTACGTATGTTTTTTACTCATTTCTCTTCATTGTTGTCTCAGCCCATTCATCATGTGTACAGGTCTGAAAGCAAGTTTGGACTCATTACCCAACCCAGACAGTCATACAACTTTTATTTTAGAGAGTTTTCTTATTTTGTGGGGAGGTATTGCTTTTCTGTAGCCTAAATCCTAGGGAGTAGCAACCAGCCTCATAGGAATGGCTTATGTAGCATCTTGTAATCGAACTGCTACTGAATGTACATCTACATCTGTGGAAAATGTGTGTATCAGATCTGGAGGTGGCAACAATAGGGTGACATGAAAAATGAACTAAGAAAGTCATGTACAGAGTTTGTTTGAGTCCATATATTCTACCTGTTTTACCACTTTGAAGATTATAAACAGTGCTTTTTCTCAAGTTCATTTAAGAGTATAAGATATTGATAAGTTTTACTTTGTGGTTTTGTCTTCATTTTAGAAAATAAAGATGAAATGAGTTTTTGGCTTTATTTTTCTTTAAATATTTATTTCCCAAAATTGTTTGGCAGTCCTGGCTTAAAGCATGCTCTTCAGAAGTATTCCTGTTCCTTGAATTCAGTCAGACTGGAATTCAGTTGGCTAACCAAATTTGTACATATAAATATTCATGAAATTTTCTGTGGCTTGTTCACCTGGTTGTAGTGTGGAAATGGCTTAAACACTGTACTTCACTAAATGCAGCTCAATCTATGCTTATCAAAAAAAATCTGTCCTTCTTCCTTTCAGTTTTTATGAGAGAGAAGAGAAGGCAGACTGTAGAAATAGAAAAATGATGTTAATGATGCTCCCTAGACTAGAACGGAACACACAAGGAATAGTTAGCACATACAACAGCTGTTTTCCCTGGCAGTGCCTGGCTCTGAGAAAAGCATCACCAAACATGTCTCCCACTTGCTGCACTAGCAATCCCTTTCTGCAGCGGTTCCCAGCTATTGCACTTCTGAGCTTCCACAGCCAGTGGTGCCAACACACTTGCTCATCAATGCCTCCGTACTGCTGAAAGAATATAAAAGCTCTCTTCAGGCCAGCATCTCCTCTTGTATCTGCTCCCATAAGAAGAGAAGCACAGTATACAGCAGTGGTTTGTTGTCTGGAAATCAGAGGCAATATCTCTGTCTCCAAAGAAGATTTTAAAAATGAAATTTGCTAAACATGCTGGTGTATTTTGGAGCAACTTCTGTCCACTTCTTGCTGAGAAGAGTGCAGAATGTATTTTTTTCCCAAGGGTGATCTATTCATGAGCGGTGGCTGTGGGAGCACACGATCTGGCAATGCAGGTGTGTGTAGCTCGTGTGGAGGAGAGAGGAAGGAGATGTCTGTGTGTGTATGTTTGTGTGCTGCATTGTAGAAGAGGCTGTGCATCCCATAGACTGAAGTGGTATGTGTTCAGTAGCACCTCTTGTGTGCAGCAACGGCTAGCCTATCTAGCTGAGATCATATCCCTTTGTTTAGGGTTATTCTCTTTCATCGTTAAGGATAAAATTAAAACTTTGTTGACTGCCATTTGTGAGTGGTACTGAAGGAAAACAAGGGAAATGTTTCCTTTATGCAATAGCACTGTGCATTGTGTGTGTGGTCTCAACAAATTTCCACATCGCAACAGACAAAATGGAGCATCTTTTCTCTGCCTGAGCTATTAAACAGCCATTAGGTAGTTTGTGGCAGCCTGTTGGTGGGCACAATACAGCTTCCTGGGAGCCCTGAAATAATGTCTGAGAACAACAAGTAAAGGTTTTCTCTTACTGCAGAAATGTTTTCTGAACTTGGAGAAGCTGCAGTCTCTTAAACTCCACCTGGTGCTGTATTCAGCCTTGTCTCTACAGGTAGCAGTTGTATGGAAAAGCTTGCTCAGATTCATTGTTGATATAGGCAGATATTCCTCCATTGTCTTCAGCAGGCAGTGTGTTTGTGCCAAGATGAATTTGCCTCTTTGTCTGCAGTCTCCATGAGACATGCTGGTGTTCAGCACATTTAACATTTTTTTCTTACCCATAAGGCTAGGAAGCCTTGGAAGCCAGTACATTGGAATTTTTCTCCATTGAGAAAAGAGTTTGGGAACTGTAACACAGATTGACATTATCTTTAGCATGAACTTGTCTATTAAAGCTGTAAGAAAGTAATACAGAAATTCTCAGACATCAAAAAATACAGGTTGGGATCTTGTCCTGCAATTGAGTTAAATTCCACTTGGGTCTGAAGAATGGGCAAGAATCTCTGTAATGGGCAACCACATGCAGCTAATAAGTGACTATGCCATGATTTAAGGGAGCTTGTGTCTTTCATTTATGTGCTTATAATCTCTTTTTAATATATCAGTGGGTTATCTCTTTGTCATTATTAATGTCCAGACCAGTTTTGAACATTTTTGAGCACATCACTCTGTCATAGTGTGATATGAATCAGTGAGTTCTTCTAGCTCAATATGTGTCATATAAAAATAGAATTATTTATTTGAATTAAATACATTGCCATTTCATGTCACCATTTTCTGTTGCTCTTGAGTTAGGAGCAAATCCCTCAGAAGACTGGGCAAGAATGATTTCCACCACAGGAATGTCAAACATCTTCATGAAAATTGGAAAGGGGCACTTCCTACCCCAAGAAGAGCAAGGAACTCACCTCCAGCCTTGACCAAGTTTGACAGAGCTCAGCTCTGCTATAGGAGAAGGATTTTGCTAAGCTGCAGCAATTATTGGAGCTGTTTTATTTTCTTAAAAGTGTTTCAGCTTTACATTAGTGCTGCATTTTCTGCATCTGATTTCTATGAGGAATGTGTTTTAAGCCCTCAGATGAATACCCATTTGCACAAACTCCAGATACTGGTTTATGTAGCTCACTATTCAAAAATTACTCCAGTTGCTAGGCAACAGTAGTGGCGATAATTCATGGTAATGCTGTTTAGGAAATAATCATTTTTATACATTTTAATGGCTATGAGAATGTAAGAAAACTGTTTAGAAAAGTGCAAGGCTGTATGAATTTCTTTTTCAGAAATTGTTGCTTGTTTTATCTAATAGGCTTTTCTCTTAATGTGCTATCCCAATGTGTTTGTGTTTCTGGAGGCATCCTGGATTTTGAACTAGATGCTCACTCATATCCAGAGGTGGAGTCTTGTTCATAAGACAGATGGGTGTGAGTTGAAAGCATGAATGTTATTCTCTGAACTTCTGCTTCTCTCTCAGATGTTTGCAGATTGTCCCATATATTACATGCTGGTATTTTTATTTTATTTATTTATTTGTAGAAAATAAAAGACACTAAGTGTTTGGTATAAGGTTACACAAGAGCCAGAGCCAACATATTTTAAGATCTAATATGGTGCTTAAACCTTAGGCTAAAACTTTCTTTCTTTCTGCATGACCTTTGGAAAATCATCTATTTATGTATATATTCACATTTATAATACTGAGCTAGAAAAAAATCAAGCAGGACTTTGTAAAGGGCATTCAGACTTGGCAGAAAGCATGACTTACATTGTAAGTGTTGCTAGGACTCTGTTATCTTTATTTCAGAGCTAAAGACTCACACAGATTGTTCTAATGGGTTGGAAAATCTGGCTTTGTGCTTTTCCCAAGGGCAGACTATTACTGCTTTTAAGTGAAAAGGAGAAAAGGGAAAGTGATGTATTATGGTATTGCGGTATAAAAGATGAGCTGAAAGAATATGCTTTATGTCAGGTATTTACTTAAATTGCTAGTTGATTATTGGGGTTAAAACAAAAATGAGGGTTGGATGAATCCAGTTCTTGAGATTCGCTTCTTGGTTAAATGGGTGTACCACTTCACAATAAACTTAAAACTGAACACAGCACCTGGAATTAACTGATAAATAGCACGGATGCTGTACTTTCCAAACACTACCTACATCTCTGCCATTTCTTTACCTATTATACTAAAAAAAAAATAATTATGGTCTGGGGGCTCTTACACAGATGCCAACTGGGAGAAAGTGCATGTGGAAGAATAGACCAAGAGTTTAACTGATGTGAAGACAATATAATTGAAAGAGAGGCCATGGTGGCAAGTAAACTACAGTAGTGGTAATTTTCCTACACTCTCTTCCATCCCAGCATAAATCAGGAGTACCTCCACTGTCATCAGTGGAATTGCAGCACTATAAAAATGGTACAGGCACAGGATCAAACACAATATGGTGTTTTTTTTTTACAGCAGTGAAAGACTCTGACAGGGCTTCCAGTATGCCTGCTACTAAGCGTGTAGTAGCATGATTGGTCCGACTCTGGGATTATCCTCATTGGTAGTTGCTCCTACTAATGCTCAGAAGATGGAACATCACAAGGGATGGTTCTGCTAGTGCTGTCCTGGGAGGGTTTCTC